AAACCATAGTTGACAACACTATAAAAATAAGAATCTTTTTTATTTTTTTAAACAAATCAAATAAATCATACGATTGTTACTTTATAATAAGTTTAACAAAAAGTTGCAAAAACTTTTTTAATAAGTTGCAAAAACGTGATAGTGTATACGGCTCCAGGTTTTAATTGAATAATTGATTATAAAAATGATTGTTAACTTTGTATAAAAACATCAAACTGTAATAGAAAACAATAACACCAAAATTAATATATTATAACGGGTTAGATCATTGTTTGGTTACTATTTGTTCATTGAACAGTTGTTTACATTGCAAAAAAAAACAATCACCAGTCATCTAAATAAAAAATTAAAACCATCTCACCAAGAAATGTAATATCAAGTTTTTAAAAGTATTCAATAAATGGTTGTTGATATAGAGAAGTAACATCAAAATTCAAAACATATATATTAAGTATAATATAGTTAATTGATAATTTAATAATTTTATGTTTTGAATGGAGATAATAATAATTAAAAAATAACAATAAATTTATAAAATTCTTAAAGAATAATAACTGTATTGTTTGTAATAAAATATAATAAAATTCAGTATATGAATAACATTGTTTTTTATTATAACGGTAAAATTTCCCAAGAGCAATAATTTTGAAGAGCGGGTTCTCAAGAGTGGCACTTTTAGACTAAAACTAAAAATACAGTTTTCTATCGAGCGGTAATTAACATTTGATAGGCTAAAAATGCCCGCTCTAGAGAGAAAAATAATTACCATACTCTCCTGCTTTTGAAAAGTTTTACCTTATTTAGTTGATTAATTTTTTTTAAATTTGTTGAACCTAATACGATAAAACATTTAAAACATTTATAACAATTAAATTAAAAAGAACACACTTTCAATATTTTTAATATGAATAATTATTATATTCATAATAATTACAACAAATCATTATGGAACACCAAAATTTCAATTTTTATTATTTGTTTTAGAATTAACATTTTAATAGTCAACTCGATAATTAACAATATTATATTTTTCTAAAATTTTGAATAATTACAGTTGTTTACCTTTTATGATTAATTAAGTATACAATTAAATAACTTTATTTGGTTGTTATGGTTTGTCACATGTTGTTTCTAATAACATAACAAAAAATAAAAAATGGATTGTCTTTATTAAAAACCAAATAATACAACAAACACCATTTTTATAGACAAAAAAACAGTTAATGTTAAATCTTTTTTTCAATTAGTATAAAATCCAAGATGAATACATTTTTTATTGAGTTAAAAAACAGTTTTAGCACATTCTTTTATTTAATAATATTTGATTTTAAAAAAAAGAATAAAGAAATATGCGAAGATTTAATGGCATTTTAATATTAATAATAACAAAAACACGTTTTGATAGTATGTTGTCAATATATAATAAAAAACATAAAAAAATAACTTTTTTCATCATTTTTATAAATGTTTAATGTTCAAACTTTAAATAAGTTTTACACTATTAATAATAGGGTGCGCAACCGTTGACAAAATATTTGCTGTTTGCCCGTTTTTTAACACAAAAAATACTTTGCTTTAATTGTTTTATTTTTACAACTAATCGTGATCTTCAAAATCTCAAGATCTGAGATTTTATTAAAAAGATTTGCCATAACAACCAAAAAATCAAAGCTAAAAAATGAACCAAAAAAATATTATTATTTTTGTAATAATGCATTTTAGTTTTATAAATTACTTTTTTACTTTAAAACGTTAATGCCAAAATTATTTAGCATTTTAATTAAAAATCCAATATTTGCGCTTTTTTACCACCACGAATAAATGATATTATTTCAATGTTTTCAACAACTTCATATAATTGTTATATTCACTTTATATTATGACAACAACAATACTTTCCATTATTGTTGACATTTAAAAACAAAAGAAAACAAGCCAAAATTTAAGTAAAAACAGTATTTGGTAAAACAGTACTTGTTAAACTACAACAAATTACAATTGAGTTAAA